AAAAAAAAAAAAACTCGAACCGGCTCAGGCCCGGCTTTCACATCAACAATATACAGAAACATGCCATTAAAACCCGGTTTTTTTTCTCTCTCTCTACGGCCCACGCACCTTGGGCGAAGAAAGATGACAAAAGAAGGCGACCGAATTAGGGTAGAGGTTGTGGCAAGGCGACGAATCAGAAGGCGGCACGTAACCCTTTGGAAGCATGGCCGAAAAACGGCGGTTATAATCAAAACCCTTGTTCGCTCTCTTCTCGTGCCAAACGAGCCTCGCCCGTTTTTTGCTCCGGTGGAGACCGACCGGCCGCCGATCGGCTCTCTTGGCAGCCGCCACGTGTAGAGCTGACGAAGGGCGCGTTTGGGTTGTGAGGAGGGAGATGAGAGAGAGTAGAGAGATGAAAATGGTGAGGAAAACCCTTTTGCTGTTGGGACTGATCATCATGGTGATTGATCGATTGATCGGCTGTGGATTAGAGAGATTAGGGTTTTAGTTTTCTTGATTTTCTCTGGGTTTTTGGATATTGGGTTGTTTTCAAGAACAGTTGTGTGAATGGGGATGAGAGAGTTTCTTGATTACATGCATCAGCGTATATATGTAGACTCAAGTGTGTGTGTGTGTGTGTGTGTGTGTTTGTGCGTGTGATAGTCTCAACAAGCTGTGGAAAATAGTTGGGATGAGAATATTACCGATCAAAATAAATAAATAAATAAAAAGCGGTGGTGGAATGAGAATATTGTTTGCAAGCTTCTTTTTTGAAAAATAATTAAAGAATCTAGGATTATACGAGAAAATGGAATTAATTGATTGATAAGATGAGGTTTTAATTTCATAAAATAATAATAATAATAATAATAATAATAATAATAATAATACCTCATTATATATAAATATGCAGAGCACTATACGTACATCAACAAGATAGTCCGACTCCAAGGGGTGCCTGCATCGACTGTATCCGACTGAGACCCACAGTTCTTCGGTAGGTTTTGGAACAGCTTGCATCGTGCTAGGGGGACGAGATTAACTTTTAGCACCGTTTACCATCCCGATACCGATGGACAGTCAGAGCGTATGATACATACTCTGGAGGATCTTCTGAGATTGTGTGTTCTTGATAGAGGCGTGTCTTGGTAGGAGTCTTTGTCGTTGGTCGAGTTAGTCTATAACAATAGTTATCAAACGTCGATTCAGATGACACCGTACGTGGCACTATACGGACGGAGAGTTAGGACCCCATTGTATTGGGATGAGGTCGCCGAGAGGAAGATTAATTCTGGGCCGGAGGTGGATGAGATTCAGAAGAGGATCAAGGCGACCCAAGATCAACAGAAGTCTTACGCTCATCGGAGGAAAGGCCGGCAGCTCGAGGCATGTGATCATGCTTATTGAAGGTCACACCGGTCAGGGGTGTGGTTCGCTTCAGGAAGAGGGGGAAGCTTCAGTCGCGGGGCCTTTCGAAATACTTGACCGAGTCGGCGACTTAGCCTATCGGTTGACTTTACCACTTGAGTTGTTGGGAGTGCATGACGTAAGCTTCAATCACGCTTTATCGAGCCTTTCGAAATACTTATCGAGTCGGCGACTTAGCCTATCAGTTGGCTTTACCACCTGAGTTGTCGGGAGTGCATGACGTATTCCATGTCTCGATGTTGCGGGGATACGTGCATGACCCCGAGCATGTGGTAAATTTTGACAAGTTGCAGGTCGAGCGAGACCGTACCTATGAGGAGGTAACGGTGGCCGTACTAGACCAGAAGATTAATCAGTTGAGGAACCGGGTAGTGGATCTCATCAAAGTGCAATGGAACCGCCATGGCGAGGTCGAGGTGACTTGGGAGAGCGAGGCCAACATTGGGAGAAAGTACCCAAACTTTATGTTCTGAGCTTTTCCCTTTGTACTTTGTTGTACCTTCATTTTCCCTCTTTTGACTTTTGTATTTCCGAGGACAAAAATCTTTTAAGGAAGGTATATTGTAGTGCCCCTTTCGATTTATATGATTTATTTGTGTTTATTATTTTATTTGCTCGCATTTATATTATTACCTACTTTTATTTCATTTTATTTGTTTGTTTTTATTTTATTTTGCATTTAATTATTATTATGTGCTCGTTTTTTTTTTTTTTTTATGTACTCGCACATAATAATAACTAAATTTCAAGCAATAATAAAATGAAATAATAGCAATCAATACAATAGATGCAAGCAAATAAAATAAAATAAAAGCAAGCAATAATGTAAATGCGAGTAAATAAATAATAAACACACAAAAAAAAAAAAAAAAAATCCTATAAATCCAAAGCGGCACTGGACACTAGAATTCTAATAGTCTTAAAAAATCTTTACAAGTCTCAATTAAATACACCCCTTAGTTTACATCATAAAATCTAGAAAATATTCCACCATTTTCATGTTTCTACTATCAATTGTGTCACAATGATTTGTGAACTTTTATGAAGGTTTTGCATGCTGCTGAGTCAAACGTATTGATAACCTTATTAAAAGTACTAGAGCTTTCATCTTTTTTCTTACTAAATACATCAAACAAAATTTAAAAGGAAGTTATTTCGAGGGACATATATTCTATATCAAATGACTGAAATCGAGCTCCATCATCATAGCTCAAATCAGGAAAGCCAGATAATGCGTAAGATAACACTGATTCGTGGGGAATTCAGAGGGGGCAATAATAATATTCCTTTGACACAATTAAGGTCGTTTGCCGATAACATGATTCATGCGTAAGATAACACTGATTCATAGAGAACGATTATGCTCGTTTTCCGATTATGCCTTGCCTTTTCCAGCTTGAAGTGACTGGATTCTCTGTTGAATCTTGAAAATCTGATGGAGGAGAAAAATTGGAGATATTTAAGGCACTCAGCAATTATGCGTTTATGTTTTACAAAAACAAAACGAAATGAAGTAGAAAAAAAAATGATTTGATAAATTCATTTTGAAGAAAACAAAACGACATACGAAATATATGTCTGAATCTATTATAAAAGTGATGCATGTACAAACCGCTTCTTTTTTGCTGTTCTGCTTTTCTTCTAAATCTTGAAGAGTACCATCTAAGCGCTTCCTGGTGGAAGAAAAAAGCATCAGATCCCAAGGCTAAAATAAGAACAAAACGAACAACCAAGTTAACATATATGTCATGTAGCAGCACATCGTACACTCGCGCCTAATCATTCTCCTTAGGCAATGTTTGATAACCAAATAAGCTGGCTTACAAGTTATGGTTAGCTTAATCTTCTTGTATTCAACTAAGCTTCGTCTAGTAGGACGAGCTTTTTAAAAAGTTCGAGCTTATCTAATAAGCTTATTTGGGTGGAGCTTTTCAAATAAGTTCGTTGAAAAATTTGTTTCAGCTAGCTTATCAACTAATTTTATCAAATATTTTAATCATATAAGCTACCTTTACACTATAGGTCATAAGCTATAAGCAACAAGCTATAAGCTACAAGCTGGAAAATCACTTATAAGCTATAAGCTAAACATCTATCAGCTAGCTTATCAACACTAAGTTTTACCAAACATAGCCTTAAACTACTCATTACATGAAGCATGAAGCAGTAAAAAACGCCGTATATCACGCATAAACGAGCATACAAACATCAATTCTTTCAAGTCCGCATAGTAATCACACGAAGAAAGAAAAATTGGAAACTGAAACGAACATACAATCCAGCTGCAGTATAACAAGAACAAATAGCAAAAACATAGTTAACATTAATCATTCAGCAGCACATTATACACTAACACCTAATCATCCTCCTTAAACCAATCTTAGTGCTACAGGAAGCAGTAATCAAGAACACATATCACGCACAAACGAGCATATACACAGCACTTCTTTCAAACCGTCACAAAGAAATACCGTTAACTGAAAAAGAACGTACAATTCAGCTGAAATGTACTCAATCCGCTTCCGAACATTGGCATTTGCCTCTGCGAGGTCCTGTTTCACAAGCACCGGACCAATTAATTTGTACACATTAGCATCCTCGTTCAACAAATCCAGTTCCTACACGGAAGAACATAAGAAATCGCTAATTTAATCCGACAAAGCCATAAAAAACCAACACAAACTCAAATTAGTGAAAAAAATTAACGATTGATTAGGAAGCAACCTTGAGGACAAGCTCATTCTCCCCAAGCTGAATAGTGTATTTCTTTCTGACCTGGTGATTCTTCGATATATCTGCACATATGCGTACAACTATCAAATTCGGACGGGCATTATCATGAACAGCATAAGCGTGTCTATGTGCTAGGGTTTAAGGGTGAAGGGCGATAAAAATTATTAAAACAAGAGAAAATGGAGAGGGTTTTATCACCTTTCTGAAGCTTGTTGAGATCGTTGGCTTTGTTTTCTAGGTCGCGTTGTAGCTCTTTGAGAGCTGCCATGGATCCGCGGTCTACAGGCTCCGGTATGGAAAAGTTTGGCTTTTAATACTTTCCGGCGGTGCAAAAATCGATTTTCCGATCAATCTCAAGGATATGTGAACAATCGCCTTTTCTAGTCAACCTGACTCTTTAGCCAGAAAATTGTTGAGGAAGTACATATGAATTCTTTTTTTTTTTTTTTAAGAAAAAGTAGAATCCTTAGAAAATATTATTTTTTGAAACTTTATTGTCAAAGAATAAAAGATAGAAATTAAAATACTTAAAATTAATGTAAGATAAAAATAATAAAGTATTGATTAATAATAATTGATTGTTAGAAATCCTTAGGGAGTGTTTGCATAAAAATAATATCCACATTTTTTTGTTTTCCTATCGTTTTGAAAAAAAAAAAAAAAAAAA